TTTTTTTTTGGGGCAGGGAGGTGATGAAGGAATTCGCGGCCCATCTCGAGAAACTCGCGGAGCATCTTCTGGATCTGCTCTGCGAGAATCTCGGGCTCGAAATGGGCTACTTGAAGAAGGTATTCTACGGGTCGAAAGGCCCGACTTTTGGCACCAAGGTAAGCAACTACCCGCCGTGCCCGAAGCCCGATCTCATCAAGGGCCTCCGTGCCCACACGGATGCCGGTGGCATAATCCTCCTCTTTCAGGACGACAAGGTGAGCGGACTCCAGCTACTCAAAGACGGGCAATGGGTCGACGTTCCTCCCATGCGACACTCGATCGTCGTCAACATTGGCGACCAACTTGAGGTACAACTGTCGAAAATATGTCGTAGTTTAAGAAACAATATAAACAGAAGTATGCATTTTTCTGTTCGAATAATATGATGGATCGCCCAGTCTAACGATTAGGCTGCCTCAAACTGTTCGATTGTTACTATATATGGTCAAGTTAGAATTAATTACAATTTTGAATTTTTATTCGGTCAGACTAACGATTAGGCTGCCTCAAACTGATGATTGTTACTGTACATGGTCAAGTCAGAATTAATCACAATTTTAAATTATCGATCGATCAGGCTAACGATTAGACGGCCTCAAACTATTAATATTTATGGTCTAAGTCAATTTTGAATTTTCGTGAGCGATTTTGATTCTGATTTTGATGTGTGTGTGTATGTATGTATTTGATTCTGATTTTGATGTGTGTGTATGTATGTATGAAGGTGATAACAAATGGAAAGTACAAGAGCGTAATGCACAGGGTGATTGCTCAGACGGATGGTACCGGGAGGATGTCGCTTGCCTCGTTCTACAACCCGGGAAGCGATGCCGTGATATATCCGGCACCGGCATTGGTGGAGAAGGCAGAGAATAACGAGCTATACCCGAAATTCGTGTTCGAAGACTACATGAAGCTCTACGCGGGCCTCAAGTTCCAGGCCAAGGAGCCCAGATTCGAGGCCTTTAAGAACATGGATAAGGCGGCTAATCTGGGACCAATTGCAACTGCTTAGATTTAATTAATGTTGTGATTTTTCTCTTTTATGTGGTGCAAAATGTTTTAACTATTTGGGAGTCTATTTAAGAGTGTTGTTAAATTATGAATGGTGTGAGAGAGTATGTGTTTTGTGTGTGTGTGTGTGTGTGTGTGCGTTGAGAGGGTGTCCAATGTTGGAGTGTGTTCTTCTTTCAGGTCGATTGAACTAAACTTTGTGAAAAAAAAAGGGTATTTGTTTGTTAATTAATGTGCATTACCTTAATTGTTGTGGAATTTCTTGCATTGATAAAAAAAAAAAAAAAAAAAAAAATCCCGTCACTTCGTCGGGGTTTGTAACTGTTAACAATAATTGATCTAACGGTTACAAATCTGACGGAATAATTCCGTAAAGAGACCTTAACAGCTTCCCAAAATATATGGCAGCCTTTTTGTGGAAATGAAGTACAACGATGACACAATTGAGAGAGTTCGTGAATACTCTCTATTTTCACCTTTTCTGTTAAAAGTTACTACTGTTTTTACCCACATATGGTAGAAAATATATATATATATATATATAAGGAAAAGCTAACTTTGCTTTTCAATGCTCCGGCCCTCTTTTCTTGACCAAGTTCATATATATGCAAGGAATATTTTCTTACTGCATTCAATGTTTTGTAGTCTTTATACAGTGCTTTATTTTTATTTACTTATTTTTTTTTCTAACGATATAATATTCTCATTAAAAAGCGCCAAAAGGCAATGTACACGAGCAACGTCCGAATCCTGGATAACTGGGAGGTTACAATATCACCAGTGCAACCTAACCGGAAGTGCTTTATTTCATGGGTCAGTTAATACCACATGAATGATAAATAATATGAGCATATTTGTATGCGTGACATAACAAATAAATATGTAAATCAACATATTGGGCTACTATTAATTAGAACTACAAGGAAAGTGAAATAAATGATAAATACATTGTATAATGAATAAATATATATTAATATTTAGTTACATTAAATAATAATAATAATAAAAAAATATGTTTCTTTCGAACCTATAGTTAACATAAGTAATTTCGACCTTGGTATCATCTTTATAACTTGCCTAAAATGCCATAGATGTATGACTATGTACAAAATTGCTAGTACGATATATTTAGTACTAGACCTAGTTGAAAGACAAGTTGATATTTGATTAAATAAGGTATTTTTTTTTTTTGAGCTCATAGCCGATGATTGATGGCTGATAATTTAAGTGTTATATAATATAATAAAAATGTTTGGTAACATTAATGAGTCAATTGAAACAAAAATTTGCGTGAAACTCTTCTAAAACGCTTTAAGATAAGTACATGTCTTTTCAAAAAGAAACTATTTCGTGTATAGAAAGCTTAGGTAAACATTTTCAACAATTTTTTTTAATGTTGTCTTTATTACTATTTTAGTTGAATAATAACTAACATGGGTTGAATTAACAAAAAAATTGAGCTTTCCATTTTTGTTTTTTTTTTTTTTAAACAAGCCCGGCTTGAGCCCGTGGCCTAGCTTTTGAGGTTTAGGGTGGTTTCGCCCCCGAATGAGTCAACTGAAACAGAAATTTGGTCATAAATTTCGCTAAATGCTACATATAGAATCATTAAATATCTAGCAAACCTATTTTGTGATAGAAAGCTTTATGTAAACTTAAGAGTAACTCCAGTTGCGTTGGAGTTGCATATTACTCCCAAATAGAGCAGAATATCTACTCCAGTCCTGTGCTAAATTTTTGCGCTATTGCAGATAAATGAACAGTGTTGCGCCAGTTCTAGCGCAGCACTGTAGCAACGTCAGTTTTTTCTTTTTTTTTTTGGAATTTTTAATGTAATGTTAATGACAATATTTTGTATAATGTGTATTAATAAATGTATTTTTATGTTAAATAACTTTGTGCAATGTATTTTTTATGCTAAACAATTTTGTGCTTTTTATTTATTAATGTAGTATAATTTTATTTTGTAATTTTTTAATATTAAAATTGTACCATATGAATAAAAATTTAACACATCCAACAAGTTAATTTCATCCAAACTAAAAATTTACAATTAATCGTAAATCATAACATACACAAATAAAAACAACATAATTATTTGAAATAAAAATGATTAAGAAAATAATATATTTGATGTAGAGTAAAATTTAGAAATAAGGGCTGAAGATAAATGTTTCACTCTACTCTAGAGTAGAGTAAAATCCGCGCTATAATAGAGATAAGGGTTGGAGATTGTCTAACTAAAGAAATCATGAGCTAACTTATAGAGATATTCCAAGCACACTACCTAGAAACTATGCTGGTTAAAGATATGCTTAGCCCACATGTTTTAAAGACTAGAAAGATGTACGTGCTACGCACGTGATAAATTAATTTATGTAACACGTATATCATAAATTAACGTTTATATTATACATATTATTAGCAGGTAAACTTAAATCGCATTATGCATATTGTTTTAGTGAATAATTTGAACAAAATAATTTTATTAAGATTATATATTTTCGCCTAACAAATAATTTTTTCCCACAAAAAATTGACTTTTTGTATATGTTAACGATTTTTTTTATTCAACCAACATATATCATAGATTAACGTTTATATTATACATATTATTAGCAGGTAAACTTAAATCGCATTATGCATATTGTTTTAGTGAATAATTGGAACAAAATAATTTTATTAAGATTATATATTTTCGCCTAACAAATAACTTTTTTCCACTTGCGGCGATCCTTATTTTCTACTTTCTCTCTCTCTGCGGCGATTCTTCGAAACCCTTGCAGACAACCTCACTTGCGCTGTCCGGCCTCCCCGTCGACGGCGAGGCTCGAGCCTGTAGCCGCCGTTGACCGCCCGCTCCGTTCCTAATGTCTTGCCTTCCCGCTTTGCTGCAATTGTTGGTGATGGACTCGCCGTCCTCAGTCGTCTGCGAGATTCCGATTGGGGTGGTGGTCCCTCGATCTAAGTCCGATGGCTCTTCCTCGCTGGCGGATCTTCGATTGGTGAGGTATTGCCCCTTAATTTATCTCTTGTTTTGCAATTGGGTCCATTTGGTCTCCCCTGCTGTGGGTGTTTCCGGTGGTTGTGTGGGGGTTCTGTCGCCGGCGGACTGTGGCGGGGTTGGGTGGTGTGCGGGTCAGTGGACGGGGCGGGATCTTGGTGGACGAGACACCTGGTGTCGAGAAAGCTTGGGTTGTAGGGTCGGGCTGCTCCCCTCCACGGTCTTCTGGTGTTGGGGACTGAAGGGGTCCGGTGCGCTCGATTTCTGCTAGTGGTGTTAGGAGAGGTTGGGTTGCGTTGGTGTTAGGAGCGGGTCTTATTCTCTCGGTTGGTGGTGGGTTGATTTGAGATGGCTTCGGAGTTCAGGTTCGGTTGCTGTATAGGCCTTATCGCAGTTTCAGTAGCTGTTACTCGGGCTTGGGGTCTTCTTGAACCGACTGTTTCACTATTGGTTTTTGGGCTCGTGTGTCGACCGGGAAGGCCTTAGTCTATTTAGTTGTTTTTAGCCTTTTTGTTTCTGTTTGTTTTCTTGTATTTTTGGTTTGGGCCATTTGGCCTCTGTGAGCCTGGGTGTCAAATTTATTCTCCTGTTGGGAGCCGACACTCGGGTATTCTCCTGTTGGGAGCCTTGTTAGTTTTTTAGTTTTTGTCGTTGTTGGTTGGTGTTGTTTGTGAGCTTTGTTATTCTAGCGTTGCTAGGTCAGGCTTTAGGCGATCTTTGGATCTGCCTCCCAGTTTTTTCAGTCCTCAGTTGTTCTATTCAGCTTTTGGCTGCTTCTCTTCGCACGTTGTGCGGTTTTTATTAATATAGTACCTCTATCGTTTTGGGAAAAAAAAATATTTTTTTTCCACAAAAAACTGACTTTTTGTATATGTTGAAGATTTTTTTTTTTCATTCAATCATTCTTAAACATATATCATAAATTAACGTTTATATTATACATATTATTAGCAGGTAAACTTAAATTGCATTATGCATATTGTTTTAGTGAATAATTTGAACAAAATAATTTTATTAAGATTATATATTTTCACCTAACAAATAATTTTTTTCCACAAAAAACTGACTTTTTGTATATGTTGACGATTTTTTTTTTTCATTCAACCATTCTTAAACATATGCATGTTAATTAAATTATTCATTTTTTATTTTTTAATACTATAACCAAAAAAAATCTATAGTAAAAAATATGATATTTAGAAATAGATATGATATTTTCACTGGTGCATTATATATTGTACACTTGTGAAATTAAATATAATTATTTAAAAAATCTTATATAATATTTTTCTTACATTTAAAAACTAATTTGTATTCTATTTTTTTATTTCTAACTTACATATTTGTTTAGATAATCTTAACATCTTTATATGACTAAAAGAATTAAATTATTGAATACATAAAAATTATAATAAAAGATCATAGATAAAACAAATAATAAAGTAAGTAGAATGAAAAATAATTGATTGAAAAAATGATTGTAACTATTAATATTTATAACTCCCTAACAGTTGTGACAAAATTACATTATTTTTCTTAGAATTAATTATAGCGTATGACATTTTTGGCAGTTCAATTTTTTCAAGAAACAAGTCTCTCTTTTAAGATAGTTATTTGATTGAAAATTAAATTTTAATCCATTTTAATTATTATAGGATTTAAAACCCCATACTGAAATAATGTGTTAAATTTATTTGGCTTAATTTCGATTAAACTAAAAAATAGGTAGATTGTTTATTACATAAAAGTTGTAATTTTACTTATAAAATATTGATTATGAATGTATTAACTTGTTACACATGATATACACTTCAGTGGGTTTTTACTAAATTTTGAAGATGACAATGAACATTTATGTCCATTCAGTTGTATTTAATATTAAAAATATATATTATATTGGAGTTGATAATGATGATTTGTAACTCATCTGCCTTCATTTAATTAAAATATTAATACATTTTTGATAGACTACAACTACAATTATTTATCACATATCAAATAATCATATGTATGACATTAAGTTGGAATTACTAATTTGTACTTGAATGATAGAAGGTCTAAATTATAGTTCCATTTTTTTAGAATTTCAAAAATTATAAACTCATCATTACAGGTAATTTATTCTATAACTATAAAGATAGATAGGAGTAAACATTTTAAGGCACGGTGATGAAAATAAACCACGATGAAGATAACTTTAAATAACATGTATTCCAAATTAAATATAATATTTATTATTTGGCTTGATACTTATTATATATATATATATATATATATGATACTAATTTTTTAAATTGTGGAAGCATCATACTTTTTTTTTTTTGGTACAATTGGAAGCATCATTCTAACTTTTCTAGTTTTTCTCTATTTCACAAGACAAGTATACACAATAAATAATAAAAGTACATCCATGATAAAATAAAAAATAATTATAATGTCACAATACTAAAATAATCAAAAGAAATAATGAAAATGAACAAATATCCAAAAGTTATGTTTCTTTTTCTTGAGGATAATTGGATTTCAAGTTAAATGAATAAATGTATACCCTTGTAATAAATAAATTAATATTTGTAGATGATGAAGAATATTAGCTAGGATGAGATTAATATAATTTTATATGCATGAAAAATAATTGTATATGATGAAGAGAAATGGAAGAGTTACATATATTTATATAAAAAAAAAAAATATGTGTGTAGTTGTAATGTGATTTTAATTTAAAATTATAATATTACATTTATATCTTTCAAAGAAAAGTTACATTTCATTTTTCTTAAGCATAATATTGGCCATTCAAGTTTCTATTTAAATGTGGTTGGAGAGTTACAAATCACCATTATCAATTCTAATTTAAAATCACAAATTACATTTATGTCCTTTAAAGTAACATCTTTTGAGGCAGTATGGGTAATTCAAAATTTTCAAGAAATAACTCATACTTTTAAGGTAGTTATAGAATAGATTATAGATTATAGATAGATTATAGACTAACCATCTTTACTACTACTACTCTTCTTCTTTGTCCTCAATTGCAAACTTAAATGTGGTTGCTAGTGGAATCAAGTAATATGCTAACTCAGCTCCTAATTAATAAGGACAAACTAGCTGACTGCCATCAAACTCCAAAACATAAAAGGAAGGACAAAAAAAAAAAAAAAAAAAAAAAAAAAAAAAAAAAAAAAAAAAGTAGAGAACAAGATTGCCTCCTAAGATCCTAACACAAATCAATCTCTCCAAAACAAAATGTTTGTTGAAGAAAATAAAAAATAATATTTCCAATAAGGAATCCACAATGCATTTATATTTTATTCAAGCCACAACTACAAAAAAGTTCTAGTGTGACCATATCTTCTTTTTGCAGTTGTTTCATATAATGGGGATCATAATGTTTAGGCTTTGTACAAATTAATGGGATCTTACCAAATACTCCACCACCCTGCTAACTTTTATTATGTGCTTACATAATAGTATAATGGGATCCTACTCCTTAACAAGTTGACTTGAATATAAAAAGTGTTATATAAGCAAATTTAAAATTAAAAACTGTATAAAGTGGGTTAATTAGATGGTGCAATTCATAGGCACATATATAATCTGGGAAGATGCTACGGTCCAGTTACAGAACCATTTCGTCGAGGTTTGTAACCATTAGATCAACGATTACATGATAATCTAACGGTTACAAACCCCGACGGAATAGTTCCGTAATGGGACCTTAGCATTTCCCGCCCTTGTTACACCCAACATTCTACAAGACAGTGAAGCTCAAATTTTATAATATGCTTTGCACTGAACAAAAAAGGAAGGTAACATGAATGGGTCTTTTCTTCCCAATCTCATTGATTTTTTTTTTCTTAATACCCCAACTCATGGCTCTCCGTTTGGCATCCTTAAAATAGCACCACGAGAGCATTTAATACACTCAAAAAGAAAATAAAAGGCAAAGGAAAAGGAAAAAGGGGGAGAAGGAGATCCAAGAAAAAAGAAAAAAAAGCTGTAGTTTATAATTGGTGTGTTTCTATATAGATTGATAGCTGCCTCAAAGTCTCTTCTGGGACCATAAAAAAGTGTTCAAACACTTTGAATTATGAACCCGAGGACGGCAATTGCTTCACGCTGGAAATATCAAACAACTCCAGAAATCTCTGGTCTGAAACTCTGGCCTTATCGGCTGCAAACCTTTGATACTCGTCGAAAATAGAAGCAAGACACCAACTTTGCCATTTCCTAAGGCACCCGACAAGACAGCCAGTTCGATGCTTTATCACACAAACACATACGGATATGTTAGAAAAAACACTGCCAGTGCTTGAGTTGTAGTAAATATAGGCCAAGGAGAGGAATATCTAGAAAAAAAGAAAGAAAAAAAGGTACCTTGCCCCGTCTGCAGTGAATTAGGAGGGGGCGGTTTTTTTCATCTGTAGAGAGAGTATTAAGTTAATAAACATCTCAAAACTCAAAAGAGAAATATTGGATTGTGTGATTCTGAAGAAGATTATACCTAATAGTACTTCCAGTGCACGGCGGATTACATCATCCGGGATACTCACAAATGGCTCCTGCATAAGTCGCAACAGTTTAGGTAAAAACCAATTCTCCAGTGGAAAAAGAAAATTAAAAAGAATTAATCATATATTTTAATGATTTGAGATTGAGAAGATGTTACTTTTCATAAACAGAAGTGCAAAGGGAGGAATCTTGATAACTTAAGGAAAGAGAAACGAACAAAATATCGTCCATTTGCAACTATGAAATCAGCAGAGTTCGAGGAGGTATTCCCCGTTCATGTGAAGCTCCACAAGATCTTACTACAGATGTTCGTTTTCTGGATGGAACTTTTATTTATCTGGTAATATAAATGGTCTTTAATGATTTAAATAGCTACTAGGAAAAGAACCAACATTTAGATCCTATCTCACAGTGAGGCATTAACAGATCATAGATACCATCTGTCGCTTCATGTTGGTACAAGTGCTTAATACAATAAGGGATGTTCTTCTAATATATGATATACTAAATAATTAGCACTCAAGGGGTTTATATTTCTGCAAGAAAACTGAAATAAAACACCTCTGACAAACCATGGCCTCAAGAAACTGGAAACTTCTAAGCAACATTTGAATTCTTCAGAAACTACTATTATGCACATAACTGTAACTACCGCGTTATTTGTTATCTGGAAATTCTTAAATTGGCTCTAGATTTTGTCCTGCAAAAGAATACGTGATATAAACAAGCTTTGACACCCCGTCACGAGCATTTCTTATTCCTTGTCAAAAGCATCATTTTGAAGAGTGAACTTCCTTTCTCACCTATAAAATGCACCACACATATGTTTACCCACATCTGATTGAAGATTAACAATTCAGCCAATTATGAATCTTGAAATAGTCACAAGGAAATTGTATAACCCACAGGCACAACAAAGACTCTCATAATCAAATTCTAATTTCTATACCATTTAATGCCTAATAAATGTCGATATGCCCAGGTGGTGGAATTTTATCATAACTACTTATCCCTCTTCATCATGAATCCAGCAACAATTTCAAGCAGAACAGAATTTGCCCCATACCACTTGACAAGATGTTCTATAGAACTTTCAAGTCATCACAATACAAGCAACAAGAATAAAGATATTCCTGAAGAAGATCAGATTTCAAAAGATTTCCTCAGTCCCCTGATCTTCTGTAATTACGTATAATTTGACCCATAATCTCAAAAGATAAACTGCAATACACGAATATAATAGCATACTATCTGAATTAGACATACCTTAGACCCTTCAACACCAAAATGGAAAAGACGAATTCCATTTTCATTGAGGAAATTGACGTTTGCTTCAGGATAAGGCTCTGGACACAAGTATCTGCAAACATCACGATCAGCATCCCATTTTAAGAATTAAAAAAAAAAAAAACGAAAAAAAAAGTTTCCGAGTAGAACCGAACATGATCGATCGGAGGCCTAGGGTTTTCAAAAACGGGAAGTTAGGCACGTCGGGGAATCCAGACCGGAAAACGCCGTAATCGACCATGGAAAAGTTCAGCGGCGGCACAAATAGATCCACCCCGTCGTCGGGCGCGGCAGCGACGTGTTTCTCCGGCGCCGTATCGGCCACGGCGGGGCAGGACGCCGGCGTCCGGTTGGTTTTGAGGCACATTGGGCAGGCGCAGTTGCGGCGGGTGATGCTCATGTCATTGATCGCAAATCGCATGAGGAGAATTTGGCGAATCGAAGATTGTATCTATATATATATATGTGTGTGTGTGTGTGTGTGTATGTATAGATAGAGACAGATGAATGAATGAATGAACGGGATTTTGAGAGCAGAGAATATAGGAATTTGGAAGTCTGGGTTTTGAGAGATCCTATTTAGTTATGAAAGATTTGGCATAAAATTTTCGGCCTTTATATAGCGGTTGGATGATGGGTTAAAAACCGAACAACATTTGCAATAAGATTAAAATGAAACAAGGTGAAATAATAATAATAAAACCTATACTACAAAAGGGGAACTTGTATTTAAGTTGTTTTGGATTAGGATTTGCTAATTGAAAATTGAGGGCTTTTAACGGTTGGATTATCATGTAACTGTCGGGATAGTTGATCTAACGATTACAAATCTCGGCGGAGTGATTCCGCAACGGAACAGTAGCATCCCCCGAAAATTGGACCGCTGAGAGAGTATATATATATATATATGTATATAGTATTGATTGTAATATTAAATTCCATTTAAAAAGCATAACAATTTATAACAAATTAATGCTATGTTTGGTAGACAAATAAGTTAGGTTATATTTTGTTTGGTTAGCTTATAAGCACTCTATATTCAAATAAGTCTCGTTTGGTAGGACGAGCTTTTTTTAAGAGCTCGATCTTATTTGATAAGCTTCTTCAGGTAACTTTTTAAATAAGTTAATTGGATTTTTTATTTCAGCTAGTTTATCAACTAATTTTACCAAACACTATTATAATATAAGCTAGCTTTTTAGCTATAAGTCATAAGCTATAAACTATAAGCTCGATAATGACTGATAAGCTATATAAACTAGCTTATCAATATATATATAATTATCCATATGTTTTATATACATTTTTTTTTTTTGGGCATAAATAGTTAAATCGGCTTAACATAAGAAGTAGCTCTTATAGAATTACCTAACATAAAATTACCTAACTAAAATAGGGAATATTTACGAAAAATCAATTGAAACTGTTGCCTTAAAAAAAAAAAGGAAAAAGAAAAAGGCAAAAGCTGATTCAACTGTCATTGTGATGTATAAATATTTTGGATAAAACTCAATAATTCACCAAACGCCTTGAACTAACACATTCAACTTGTGGTTTGAAATGAAGCTATAGAACAAAGTCATCAATACGGATAAGATGTAACTGCATTTTACCATCTACGTTATGGCTTGCTTCTGCATTATTCTTTTACCAACCTTTAAACATACGACAGATGCTACGATTCCGTTACGGAACTATTCCGTCGAGATTTGTAACCGTTAGATCAAATGGTTTCGTAACAGGACCGTAGCATCTCCCTAAAAATACATTATATATAGTGCAAAATTCGTGGTATTTTATTTAGCCTCAATCAAACAATTCACACAAATCAGTTTGTGATGGATCCAAGGTTTTCTTAGAAACTATATGCGTATGAGATTTTTTAAGACTTTTTAACACTTCAAAATTTTCGGTGTATTTAATTCAGATTTTTTTCTAAGATTTTTTAAAACTTTTAAAAGTCTCGAGTTATTCATTCAAGATTTTTAAAATGTCTTACAAAACATGAGGTGTTTAACTACTTATTTGAGACTATAATTTATTAAAATTTTTTATAATTTGCAAAACCATATACATAAATCCTATTCCGAATTTCACCTCCAGATTTAAGACATGAAAATTTAAAAAAGTCACAAATTTAATAAAATTTCAAAAGTCACTCGAAATCTCAAACGCAGTAAAAACAAACGCAGTAAAAACATGTTTAAGATTTGAAAAGGAAAAAATAAAAACGAAAACAATAAAAAGAATTTGCTTATCTATATTTTCATTTTTCAGTTAGAAGACTGATTTAGTTGGCCGTCAATATAGCTGGTCATGCCTTCGCGTTCAATTTAATCTGACGTCATGGCTTACATCATTCTCAAAATTTAGTTATGCAGCACTATTATTCATGCCACATTTTGATGCAACAAGCAGGACAATAAAATAAAGATGAAATTTACTTTTTACCTTCTCATCCATACAAACTTTTATGTGATGCCATCTAATCCTAATTAGGGAATCATTCGAGATTTGTAATCGTTAGATTATCATGTAACCGTCGTGGATAGTTGATCTAGCGATTACAAGTTCCGATAAAATGATTTTATAACGGGACTGTAAAATTTTCCTCGTAATTAACTCTTATTACATTTTTTTTTTTGTTACAAAAATGTAAAAGTATCATATGAAATGTTGTAATTTTATCTTTGTTATTTTTTTATAGTATGACATTTTTTTTAAAGTATGTATATTTGTCGAAAAATTTATACTACCTAACACCAGGCTTTACCGCTGCATCAAATATTAATACACTACAAGAGAAACACTTAAATTCCAACGGCAAAAAATTTCGTTGGAAATTTCAATGAATATCCCAACAAATTTAATTTTATGTTGGAATAAGTGTTGGATGGTTGAAGAATTCCAACGGATTTTTTCCGTTGGAATAGTTGTAGGAATTTATTTCCACAGGATTTTCCGTTGAATTTTAGTTATTCCAACGGTCGTTTTTCCCACAAGTTTTTATACGTAGGAATATCAGTTGGAATAGCTATTCCAACGGAAAATATAAATAATTCCAACGGAAAATTTCCGTTGGAATGTAAGAATTTTTTTTGTAGTGATAGTAGTATTTCAAATTCTTGAGTGAGACGGTTTAATCGTTAGAGGATTCGACCTGTTATACTATTGTAACATAAATGCATACTTGTTATGAAATTTCATGTTTTTACTTATATTTTATTTAGGGTAAGACATTTTAATTAGTTTGAAAATACAGTGCTTTTTTTTGGGAGGACTTGTGTAAAAGTCCATTTCTTAATAAATGGACTTAAGCAAATGGATTTTTCCAAAAGTTGCTAACATTTACTTCTATAGAATGGACTGTTTGGAGAAGCTACTCATTGAGAATTCATTCTTCATTTACCATCAAACATAACTTAATTATTTATCCAAATGGACTTTGCACCCAAAAGTCCATTTGATGAGAAATGTTTCCAAATATGCTATGTATACCAGTTTTGTTGTAGAGCAATCGGTAACTCGACTTATGGAGTCATCAGTACAGAGACGGATGTACGTTTATGGTTGGGGGGGCCATGGTCCCCCCCAAAGTTTTTTTTATCTCTTAGTAGTATGTGTATATAATAATTATATCCTATACATAGTTAATCATTTCTTTCCTTAAATTATAAAGTAAAGTATAAATAAAAGTGAATAATTTATTAAACAGAAATAGTCAAATAGGATCATGTTTTGAAGATGCACGATTCCCAATCTCACTTCCACATCTTTTCCTTTAACAAGCATATATAATATATTAATATAACAAATTAGCTTAATTAATTATTCTTGATTCCATTAAACAAATAATTAAAGA